TGAGATGGAGCAGAAGGAATCTGACAATCCTTCAGTCCAGGTGAAATCCAGAGGAGGGAATAAATGTTTGAGGAGAGGGAGGGGAAGTCGTGGAAATTGTAAGGCCCAGGGTGGGATATGTGGGCGGAGGGAGGAGGGGGTCGGCTGTAGGAGTGGAAGAATGAGGCGGTAGCGTCTGAGGGACCCTGAATTTAAGGTGCTGGGGAAAGTAGGAGTCCGCTTATGGATCCATTACTGCTGAAATCAGCAGTCAGACTCCCCAGCAAAACACTGACATGAAGAAAGGCACTATCACCCCCTCGCTTTCCCAGAGCTCTGGGATCTCAGATAAAATATAAAGAACCTGGGTGGTGCCCCGTCCTTGTGGAGCTACTGACAGGTCAGCAATCAAAAGCCCGGGGGAGGCCTGAGTCACCCCACTCCGTGTGTCTCCTGGATCTCTGGGCTCAAGTCCTCTTACAATGCTCCAGCGGGCACTGGAGGACTCTGCCAATCCCTGCACATTTGTACCATCCCTGTGCTCCCAACTCTGGGCCCAGCGCTGGGAGCAAGGGGAAATTAAGGGAATGGCACAAACACGAAGGATTCACTCTGGGCCTCTCTGGTGCCTCAGAGCGTCCTGAAGAGACCTGAGCCCAGGAAGCCGGGAAATCGACAAACCTCTCAGTAGAAAGAAGGACTGCAGCAGGCAGAGGCGGCGCTGGGGATCCTGGACCTGGCTCTGGCCTCAGTGGTCTACAGAGACATTCTCTGCAGCAGCTCTTCTGTGAGGCTCCCTGGTGTCACAGGACCACCAAAAGTCAGAACAGAGAGGATATAGATTATCCAGTCCAGCCCCTCACTGCCCAAAAGAAGATGCTGAGGCCTGGAGGGAGAGGACAAATGACTTCCCTGCAGGCTGCACAGGCCAATCAGGGACAAGTTGTAACTTGAACCCAGGCATCCCGACTCCCAGCCCAGGGCCTTCCTCCTCATGAATAGGCAGCAAGCAGGCTGGGGCATTGTGCCTTCAACCTCGAAGAAGTACATGGGCACACGGGGACTCACCAGACCCCGCAGAGGAGGCAGAGAAGGGAGGTAAATGGGAGAAGGTTGTTGGGAGGAGAGCAGTGCCTTTGATGATGCTCAGATCTAGGCTGGGACCAGGACTGGGCACCTGGCGCTTATTCCATCAGTTGCCGCAACATAACACTGGTCTGGGTGGAAACTCACAGCCGACACTGCCCTAGGGCTCCATTGTGCCCGCCCAGCGAGCCCCCAGCAGAGTCCTCTTGCCTTTCTAAGTCCTTTGGGGCTGGAATGGAGGGTGATGACAGAGGGAAGGTGAGAGGGCTGCTGTGCCCCCAGGACATAGGGCATTTGGGGATTTGCAGGTGGAATCAGAGTCCCTGATTATGGATCCAATGAGTCATTTGAGGAGCTTTCATCACCTGTCGGTAAGGTAAATGCGGCTGTCATTTGTGACAGGTTACCATATGCCAGGCAGTCTGCTAAGAGCTTTGCGTGCATTGTCTCATTTAATTCTCAGGAGAATCCTGTGTGATGGGTATGATTATCTCAGTTTACAGATGTGAACCAAGTTTAGCTAGATTTGCCAAGAGGACACCCCTAGAAAGTGGCAGAGCCAGGATTTGAAGCTAAGTCCTACTGACTCTGAAGCCCACTTCTAGCCGTCTGTGGAAATCCAGGGTCTGTGCTGTCAGTCTTGGCTGAGCATGGGGTTACCCTGCCCTGCAGGAGCCACTGTCCAGTGCAGTGCACAGCAGAGGAACCAGGGCTCTGATCTGGACATGGCCCAGGGACCTTTCTCCAGGCTGTTCTGTGAGCTCTAGGCCCCAGGTGACAGGCAGGAGGCCTCTGTCTTCTCCAGAGCACATGTCCTCCTGCTGGCCACAGTGGCCTCCAGGTCACTCCAGAAGGGACAGCTGCTGAGGAAACCCCTGTGCTTTCCGAGGAAAACCACTTTGATTAGAGACGTCTTGCTGGTCCTCCCAGGGCAGCCAGGAAGACAACTGAGATTTTGATCTCATTTTACAGCTGAAGGGAAAAGGGTCACTGGCAGGCGGCTTGCACAAAGTCACAGAGCTGGGGAGGGGCAGACATGGGGCCTTGTCGCAAAACTCTGACTCCAGTGAGCACCCTTGCTGCATGATCTCAGAGCTTCACCAGGTCCCTGGAAACACCAAGACAGCCATGGTCCATCCCCCACAGAAACCTCAGGGGCAGGGACAAGTCCTGCCAACTCACTGGGCTTACCATTGGCCTATGGTGTAACGCAAATTATTCCCCAGTGGGAGAGGGGAGCCTGGATTACTCCCTGGGCACCCACCCAGGTACCCTGGTGCTCCCACAGCTGCTTCTCATGTGTCCTTTGAATAGGGCCTGTTCACAGAGCCCTTCATATTCCCCCTACACTGCTCCTCATTCTCCCAGGGTCTGTCAGGAGCACCAGTGGCCTTCCTGACATCAGGGATCTCTGGTTCTGCTATTCTCTTGACTGCCCCTCAGCACATGCGTGCACACACACAAACACGTGCATCTGCACACACACACACATACACACACGGGCACTGAATACATCTGCACTGGTGCCTTGGAACTGTATCCTCTGCACGGCTTCCCATCTACCCTCCTCCAACCAGACCCTCTTTCTGCAGAGTTTTCAAATGTGTTTATTCCAAGATATTTTCTACAGACAAAATTATATGCAGGAGTCAGAGATGCCAAACTGTAAAAAAGCAGAGGAGTTGGGAAAGGGGTGGAGGTGAGGCCATGATCCCGAATCACCTCCAAAGCCCTCCGGTTAAAAGCATGGGTTCCGGACACAGGCTACCATACAACTTATTATCTCTGTGTGTCAGTGTCCTCATCAGTAAAAGGAGTGACAAAGAGAGTAGATTCCTCCCAGGTTGTTGTGAAAATTAAACAAGTTAATATATGTGAAGGACTTGGGGGGTAACTCAACAAGTGGTATTACTAATCATACTCACTTATTATTATTATTTCTGTCTATATTCAAGAAAGTTAGCATAATGAGGTATTACTTGCACCACCTTTCCCCAGAGCAGGTGCAGGAGGGGGTACCTGGGAAGATGGTTTCATCTTGAGCAGAAAGGGGCAGAACCCCTTGCCTGTCTCAGAAATGCCGAGTTTTCTACCATCACCTGAGGTCCCAGGGATGAAACTGCGTGTGCAGAAGACAGATCTGAGGTTAGCCAGCGTCTCTAGTGCTACCTACCCAGGTGTGGCTCCCTCTCAGGTATGAGACGGCCTTACCTGAGACATGAGCACAGAATGCTCGCCCAACTGGATGGGTGGTTCCAGACCTGATCCCTGCAGGGAGTCTGCCATAAGACGGGTGTTTTGCACAGTGTGCCACGGGGGCCCGCTTGGAAGAACACGTGATGAGATAGAGCAACGGGGCTCAGGCCACCAGCCCAGGAGTGTGTAGCAGCACCTGAATTCTT